AAAACAGAACCGTCTGTTGAAAACGAAAAGCCAACTCAGAATATTGTTAATTAATGATTTTTTAATGTTGTGCATTCTCCCTTCTATCTATCCATTTATCTAACTGATTTCCTCCCCCTTCTCTTCTCTTCGTAAAAACTTTAATTTTTACTTCTTCCTGTTATTTAAACAAGCATTCCCATGACGAGTAATGTCCCCCCCCTCCTTCAACCAGTTTCTCACTTCCACCCCTTTCTTCCTACCCTTCCGTCTCTACTTGTTGATTTATATCCGGTCCTAATTATCACAAAATTTTTTTTTTAATTCGTTAAAAGTAAAATTTTTTTTTTAATTCGTTAAAAGTTTAATTATAAAAAAGATATAATTATTTTAAAAAATTGTTATCCCTGTTTATATACAGGTAATTACCTACCATACTAATATCCATGGGTTTTCATATTTACACTTCCCCTTTCCTTTCCCTCCCCCCCCCCCACTTCCTTCAAATCAATCGGAAACATCAATTAAGTCTTGGTAGACCTTTAAACCAGTCTTAAACCCAGAAAATAAAGATAAGTAAATTCATTGTATTAATTTTTATAACCTAAAAATCAAAACATGTATTTTGAAACATCTTCGTTCCGTAGTTTAAAATTGGCAGGAAGCTAGCAGGACTTAGTTTGAAAACGTTATATTCATTGATGTATTTATATCTAACTACCTGATTGATGTATTTATATCTAACTACCTGATTGATGTATTTATATCTAACTACCTGATTGATGTATTTATATCTAACTACCTGATTTTTGGCTAAATTTGAAATCTACATTTTAATTTATTCTAAAATCAGGAAGTACTTGTTTCTCACGTTTTCAGGTCCAACTGTATTTAGTCTAAATCATGAAAGTGTATGTTTTCTGGCATTTCCGGTCAAGAATCCAACATGGCCGTTTTCTCACGTTTTGTCTGTTGATTTCGAACTGTTAAGATTAAGAAATTAGATTGTGAGGTACCGTATAATATTATTTTATTGATAGTCAATATCCTAAGATAGTTAGGCTACTTCCTTTAATTATGAGAATTATGAGCAGGGGTCTCAGTAAACATTAATTAGCGTAAAACCCGTAGAACAAAAATGTACGCGTACTGAAATATACGCATGGTCGAATGGCGGATATTGGTTTTATATATATACAGTGAGATCCAGAAAACTATGGAACGGGAGACAACTTTTAAACTCAAGTTATGACTTTAAAGAGTATAATTTATTTGTGGCGCAGGGATTGTGCAGTGTACACGGAACCCATTTCACTTTATAGAAAATCAAGAAGTTACTGGTAAAACAATCTTCCAAGATTGACATAGTTTAGCCATATTTTTCCCTGTATTTATTATTAAATCCTAAAATTAATATAAACACAGACGATTCGAAATGTCGTCGGAGTTTAACATTGTGTGGAAATCCTGTCCAACTATTCACGTCATCCAAGCTAGAGAAAACTGGACTAAGAACTTTAACCTATTGAATTCCCGACCTAAGGGTTTTACGACCTATAGAGGTGTCCTTTTTTAGAATAAGTCATGACGGACAATTTTGCCTGTAATTAGTTCGGATATCTTTTATAGTTCTAGGTCAGTTTATAGAGCATCCATAATATGAACACCGAACAAATGGGAGAAAGAGAGGGCGAGGGTTACAAAAACGGGAACAGGGGGTGGGGGGCTGATATTGAGGGTTAAAGGGTGATATTTAACAAACAATCATCATGAATACTTAATAAGAATGATCCATCAAGACTGAATGGAATAGTTTAAATACAACTGAATAATTTCTAGTTAATTGTTTACTTTTCTTTAGTTCTTCCGGATTCCAGGCCCCAGGGGGACGGTGGGGGGCGAAGGGGGGAGGAATG